GGGCCTCAACTTTGCTTGAAGACTTCCACTGAGAAAGTGCAGTACCTCCAGAGGCAGCGGCTTCCATTTCTTGACAGTAATTGGGAAGACGGTCCTTATATCAAGTCTAAGTTTGATGTTTTGCAACTTTGCCCTCTTGCTCTCTGTTCTGCCCTCAGGGGCCAAACATAACAAGTCAAATCCGTTTTCCATGACAGCCCTTCAAATACCTCCGTCCCCACTCAGGTTTCTCTTCTTCAGGCTCAATGGTTCTGATTCCTTCCATTAAGGCTCTTGGCTAGGCCATCCTGGTTGTCCTTTGGACACTCTCCTGCTTATCAATGCCTTGCACACATTATCTGATGAAATAATGTTAAGTCAAGTGCTTTGCAAACCTTAAGGACTATATAAATAAATGTGAACATTTTATTGTTCACAAAATGTGGTATCAAGAACTGAGCACAATTCTCCACAAGCAAGGTTTGGTTAACTCTTATTTCTGGATGCTGAACTTCTCTTGATCCAGTCAGAAGGCACTGTTTCTTGGCTGCCATCTTACACTGTTGGCTCACACTAAGTCCACTAAAAAAGAAAAACGAGACGAAATTTATTTTCTGTTTATTTTTCTAGCCTTATGAACCCATCTTGTACCTCTAAAGTTGACTTTTTTCATCCCATTTTAGATTTACTCCTCTTATGTTTCACCTGATGAGATCTGGTCCATTGTTCTGGCCTGTTGAGGTCATTATTATCTCCTCCCCGACACAGAAAAAACCCAAACCCATCTCTTGTATCAAAAGTAGAATCCAAAAAAATTTGTGCTGTTGTGGGCTCATCTGGAAATGCACGTCTCCTTCTGCACTTGTAGTCAGTCCATCACCTCTCTGCCTAGTAGAGGGAGATATGCTTCATATCCTCTGTCTTCTGGAGTCACAGCTGGTCATTGCATTGATCCAAGCTCTCCAGTCTTTCAGTTTTCCTTTGAAAGGTTGCGCTCACTATATAAATGGCTCTGGTCCTGCTCACTTCACTTTGTATCAGTTTATTTAAGTCTTTCTGGGTTTCTTCACATTCTTCTCTTTTAGCATTTCCTATAATATTCCAACACATTTAAGATGTTTTATTTTACTCAGCCATTCCTTAATTTACGAATATCTGATTTTTGTCATTTCCAAATTGGATAAATGTGCTCTTGATGCTTTGGTCCAAGTCACTGATAGAAGTATCAAATAGCATAAGGTCGAGCAAAGCATTCCCTAACTCTTCTCAAGTTGACCAGCAGCCATTAATGCCTCCTTTTTGGCTCTGGCTATTAAACCAGTTCAAAATCTATCTAACTGTGTTAATCGCAAACGTGTGGCCCACACCTCATCTTTTCCACAAGAAGAGGATGGCAGATTTTATCAAGTGTTTTACTAAACTCTAGATTAATTTTCTAGACAATCACCCTCTTTAAAAAAAAAATGTATCTTACACAATGTGTTCTTGATGGTGCCATGCTGGTTTCTTTGCGATCATCCATGTTTTTTTCAGAGACACAGACATGGAGAGGAGAGGGGAGGTAATTTCAAAAGGAAGATTCTGGGGGGTGAGAAGAAAGGGATCAATAGGGAAAAGACTTTTGACATAAGGTGAGACTGGGGAAAAGAGCTGTGCTCTGTTTAATACTAGACTTGTGATAGAAGTCAAGTTCATTGGTCTGTAGTACCTCGATTATCTCCAGTTTATCTTGTCTAAAGCTTGTTTGCATATTGATGTAGTTAGTATGGTGTCTCCCCATTAGGCTGTGAGCTCTTTGAGGGCACGACTGCCATTGGTGTTGTATCCCCACCACTTAGTACTGTACCTGACACAGTAGAACTTAATAAATGCTTACTGACTGATTATAGTTTGCAGACTATTCTCTTCCTTTTTTTGTTAATAAAACTTTTGCCTTCACCAGCTCTGCTGCACGTTCCCCATTCTTGTCTTTAAAAAAATTGACTAAAAATTATCTAAAATAAATATTGATATTTTTACATAGCTTAAATTTCTCCCTTTAACCCTTCTCCTTTCAGTCATCTCCTATAACAAAGTATTCTTTTTTAAATAAGAGGGAGAGAAGAAAATAATCAGCAAAACTGATCTGTATATTAGAAAAAACTCTGTATATTAGAAAAAGACATTATAATGCAGTTTCACACTCCTGCTAAAATTGCTAACAAGTGCCTCAGCAAGCAGAGACTGAAAAAAGCATTTGTTCTGCCCTTAGGACATTAGGCCCTGGGTGAAATGAGGAGGAATTCAAGACTACTCCCTGCGGGAGCGCAGGATGTACTCTGCCCTCAAGGAGCTTACATTCTACTAGACAGCACTGAGTTGAAGAGCCAGCGAACAGTTTTCAGGTTTGAGGAGTCTAATGCTGAACATAGCCAAGGAGCAATTGATTGGCTGGTGCTTCTTGGGAATATTTGTGTTGATTTGAAAAGTGGGTGGGAGGCATTGCAGTAGGGTTAATTGGTGACACTGAATGAAGATGGCTGCAGGGCAGCGTGGCCGTTCTGGGTCTCAGTCACATCAACTGGGCACTCTCCTTAAGGTCAGTTCTTTCAATACCATGTCCCCTAATTTGGGTTACTCGACATCGTGACTTGAACTTACCAAGGGCAGCTTGGTGCTTCCTCACTATCTACCTCCTTTTGCTGATTAATTCCCTCTTAGGCCATTTTTGTTCATTTCCAGGCCAAAGGCCATTCTCCTTGGCCTTTGTGCAATTTCATATACTTGCAAAGAACTTTCTTTGGCCTGGGAGAAACACCAGTTAAACGAGTGATTTAGAGGTCTGGACACATTGGGCATTTAGTGAGGGTATTTTTTTGCGGGGGGGGGGGGGGAAGAGAAGGAATTGACAGTTGATATGTATATTTGTTGTCTTTCCTGTAGAAAAATAGGATTCTAGTGTAGGTATTCGTATGTACTATTGTATTTCTTTGTCCTGTTTACCCCATCAGACTGGGAGTTCCCCAGGGGACTAGGTCTTTCTCATCTGTCCTACAGGGATCCCCCAAAGAGAGGAGCCAAGTTTTTCTCATCAGATTATGACTCTCAAGGGCAGGGGTTATGCCTCTCCTATCACACTGGGACTCCCCAAAGGCAGGGCTATCATATTCCTCAATTTAGGGTCACGGGGGGAGTAGTGACTACTCCCTGTGGGAGGGCAGGATGTAGTCTCCACCATCAGAATACAGTCTAGGTTTCTTCTCTCAGATGACAGCAATTTGAGACTAGGGCTGTCTCCCCAATCAGTCCCACACTCCCCAGGGCAGGTGCCATTCCCCACCTTCCAACCGTTCTCAAACCTTCCCATGGCCTCCCTTTCCCCAACTCGTCAGAATCCTTCATCCACTATTTATTTCCTCTTCTAGCTATCTCAGGGAAAGAGGTGGTCCCGCCACAGGCACCCCGGGTCTGATTCACTCCAGTCTTCCCAGCAGACTCCTCTCTCTAACCTTCCATCTCTCCCCACAGACTGCCCACAAACGGGTCCACGTCTCCTCCACCCGTTCAAAACCCCTCACTGATTTGCCCCTGCGGGCCATGCTTCCGGCTCTCTCCCCCTTCTGTGGCCCCCCTCAGGGAGGGGCCGTCCAGTCTGCCCCCTCCCAGCTGCGGGATGTCCAAGGGCCCTTCCTCAGTGGTCCTCTTTGACCCCTGCAGCCTCGGTTCAGCAGCACTCTCTCCTCCTGGACATTCTCTTCCTCCTCTCTCCTGCTTCTCTGGCTCTCTGCTCGTGGGGGCCCCCCTTCTCTCTCCTCCTTTCAGGCCATTTCCTTCCTGTCTTCTCGGGCTTTCGAGCCTCGCACGTGCTCTTCGAGGCAGCCTCGACTCCCCTCCAGGCCCCAGGGCCCCCCGCAGCCATCCGGGGTCTCTTCCCCAAGTCGCAGGGCCCCCCCAACCATCCGGCCCCCCCCAAGGACTCAGTGCCCCCGCAGCCATCCGGGGTCTCTTCCCCAAGTCGCAGGGCCCCCCC